ACTCTCGCGTGTCACATGACTAGCTGCCTCTGCGGTTGAAAAATCGCATTTTTTCATATCGCGATATTATCGCAAATGCAATTAATCGTTCAGCCGTAATCGATACCTAGAAACTAGACATTTTTATGAGTATTATGGTGACTCTTTTAAAACAAAGAAAAGATATGGCCTAAAATAAGAAATAATTACTAATGTAAACAAAAAAAAATTTCTTCACACTCAAATGAAATGTTTGTTGTTTCTTTGAAAGAGTTTGTGTAAGAAAAGAACCGTTTTCGTGACTTTTTAGCCTCATGACCCTCAGGAGCCCGCAGCCCGGCACGGAACGTTCCTACGAGGCCGTGCCAGAGCCCTGAAACACGATGCCACAGAGCGGCACAGACTTAGTCGCACACACATAGAGGTGCGTGTCTGTGAAAGAGGTCAAGGTGAGGGGGGCTAGAGTTACAGCTGATGTGGGGGAGTCAGACTGAGTCAGTTTACAGCCGGGATCGATTCTGATAAACCTCACAGAGTCACTGGACCTAAGGGCAGAATCAGAGCCAATGCATACCTTTCATTAATGAGAACCCGCAGGCGAACTGAGTGTGGCACTGCCTGCCAGTGGGTGGGCGGTTGACGGGTCAGATGGTCATCTCAGTGGGTAGAAATACATGGTTGTGTAAATGAGCCTCTTTGTAATTTTCCTGGAAATCAACTTTAACTAGAATCCACTCATAAACAGTATTTATTGCAAATTGCGGCGTGCCCGCTGCCTGTATGGTGAAACACTGCTTTTATTGACTACAGGACCATTCACAAGAAAATTGCTGGCAAAACGGTAGGAGCCAACTAATCTTTCAGGACACTTTTGTACATGTTTTTTTTAGCCATCACCTCCCAGAAGGTATTCGAGGCTTCACTTTGTGTGTGTTTTAGTTTAATAGTGTTGACAGAAGCAACACAGTTCAAGCAGGAAATGTTTCCCTCTATGTCTGAAGTTGGTTTCTCTTCGTCCCTTCCTCATGTATGTCATTTAAGGGATAGTTCACCCAAAAATGAAAATTCTGCCATCACCCTCATGTCGTTCCAGTCCTGTATGACTGACTTTCTTTTGTGGAACTCAAAGATATTTTGAAAATCTTTTTTTGTCTATACAGTGAAAGTGAATGGAGAATGAAAAGTCATACAGGTTTGACATGAGAATGACTGAATTTTTATTGTAATATTCAGGCTCAAGTACATGCATGTCAGGTAGAACAGAGAGGAAACTAAAGCTGACATCAGATCTGTTCGCAGGGAAGGACAGTGGATTTACTGTCCAGTGGGTGTGAAGGGTCTGAGTGCTGGCTGCGGGACAGAGTTTGTCCGGTGGGGCAGAACTGGGTTGGTATTGCATGTAGACGGATTGAGCACAAAAGTGCTCCATGTCTTTGTCAGTTCTAAGAACAGCCCTTATTTCGAATTTTATGATCTGCATGCAGCAGTCAAGTGCCCGGGACTGCTAAGTGTTTGTGTGTTTGAATACACTGCCAAGTACTACAGAAGAGGTGCTGTTACTAAGTGCACTTGTTCATAGAAGTATGTTTGTTGGTTTATGACCTAGTAACTAAGTGTTAGCCAAATTGCAAAATTCAAATGCAAAAATGGTTTATAAAGAAACTAAATAATGTTACATTTTTGGTAATGTAGTGTTGAAAAATGGTAAAGTTCCAGTGAAACGGAAGTAGCGACATATCTTTTATTCTGCATTGTGACATGCATTGACCCTTCACAAAAACTGCCCTCCTGTCGGCGCCGATAGCCTTGCTGTTGCACTACAGGTGTCCCGAGTTCGAATCCCGACTCAAAGGACCTTTCCCAATCCTGCCTCCTATCTCTCTCTCACTTCGCTTCCTGTCAGTTCTGATCTGTCCTATTCTAATTAAGGCAAAAATGCCAAAAAATAAATATTTAAAAAACTGCCCTCCTTAGTTACTGTTGCTATGTCCGACAAGCCATGCCGCTGTCACACTACACATCATGTTCTCACGCAGTGAAAAATACATCGCGGAGCAAAGGGGAAACTGACAACATGCCGACAGTCAAGACAGAGCAGATTACTTCTGGTATGAAACAAGGTCTCAGCTTTCAAATTTTGTCATTTTGTAAGAAATTCAAACAATAAATACCGTTATGTGGCTCTTTAATGTGTCGTGACAGATCACTGTTGCACCTCAGTTCAAGCAGCACGTGAACCGATCGTCTTTTCATATTTACTTAAAGCATGAAATAAACATGTATGAACATCAGAACATATTTTACTTCAATTGCGGAAAGATGTCAGTACACATAATTATTAAAGTTTAAGTCCACCGAAGTTAATCTATTCTCTCCTGTGATTTGTTTGTCAGACAAGATGGCGGATTCAGTGTTATGATAGGTCAGATCGCCTGTCAGTCAAGCTCTTTGTCAAGGGTCAATTAAGATTGTAGAAGTCCCACATAATGTACGTCACCAGAGACAAGACATACATTAGTCTGCTGTTGCACCGGAAGATCCAGAAAAATTAAACAAAGACTAAATATTATGGTATGTGTTTGTTTTTAGCGTGATTCTGTGCAGTTTCTAGGGTGTTCTGGCTGTTTTTAGCACGTTCCTGTGCAGTTGCTTGGGTGTTCTGGGTTGTCATTAGTGCATTGCTAAATGGTTGCTAGGTTGTTGTGAGTTTCTAGGTTGTTCTGCTTAGGGATGTAACGGTATGAAAATTTCATATCACGGTTATAGTGACCAACGTTATCACGATTATCAATATTATCACGGTTTTGTTAAAATTAGATGAAAATGTTCAAAAAGAACTGATACACACACTGTCAACCTTATAGTTTGAACGTTCGTTCGTCTTGGCTCAAAGCCACTTGCTGCGAACTTTTCTTTGCGGAAGCTTTGCGTTAATTACAAGTGAGATAACGAAATATTTAATCTCTAATCAATATTTTTTGTCCAATTATTTGCCCAGTTAGTTTTGGTATTGAGGTAAAAGTTACCTTGCATTCGCTATATAACAGTGGGTGGTGGTCACGAAGATGACTGAGCAAATTTGATGCGTTTCCCCCTTTTGCAGCGACTTTCTTCTTGCAAGATCAGCAGACAGGGTGACCGTCCTCGATTAAATTGCCTTCAGGACTCTTGTAAAAGCCCAAATACGACCAGACCACCGATTTGGTTCTCTTAGATGGCTGAAAAATCTCCCGAGCGCTGTCACTGCCTTCCGCCATTTCGTCTCGTGCAAAGAACAAAACAAAAAAACAACAACATTGCATGCTGCTTCTGCGTCAAACTGATGCTGGCTGGACAGGATTTACCGCGAGTTTTCAAAATCGCGATAATCAAATACGGTTTTGATGATAATTAAATTTTAAACGATAATACTAACCGTCAGGGCATTTTATCGTGATTTATCGTGAAACCGGTAATCGTTCCATCCCTAGTTCTGCTGTGTGATTGCTAGGGTGTTAATGTCTGTGTTTTAGCACTGTGCAGTAAAGTGAAAATTACTGAAATTGTAAGTCCACTTATATGAAATCAAATAGTGGAGGCCTAGTTTAATTATGTAAATATGTTCAAATACGTAACCCTAAGCGTGAGCAGTAATGGTGATGCTTGGCTTGTCTAGCTTAATTTAAGAACAATAAAGGACAATGGGAAATCCAAAATCAGACTGCTAGGTGATTGTGTGTTTGTGCATGTGGTAGTTTCAGAACATGACTCCGTATCATGTAGCAAATAGGAAGTGTGGTCAGTTTGGTACCGTTCCGGTTTACATCTGCAGAACCCATGGGGTTTTCTTTAACCAAGGGAGACTTTTAGAATCCAGTAAATGACCCTATGACTCACAGCATGGATTAGGTATCTGTACAGTTGTTTGACAATTACCATACAAATTACATGACTTAACTCATCATTAGTTGACAATTATGAACGATAAAACACCATACAGTCGGCTAACTGCCATTATGACCAATTGCTACATTTTCTTTTGGTTAGCCACGTTGAGCCACATCAAAGGCTTTCCAGGTCATTCCGGTTGACCTTTCCTGGACCCCAGCTGCAGTCCAAAGCTCTTTTCTCCTTCCGTCTTCCCCTCTTTAATATGAGCTCTGAGATGGGGAAGGGGAAACCAGACCTGAGGAATGCACTAAAGAATCCGGACATCCCTCGAACCGTAGCCCGCCATGCTGTCAATCATCTGCGCAGGCGTCAACGGCCAAAACATCTCAGACAGCTAGTTTTTGAGGCCATTGTTAGCACATTGTGCAACAGTGGAGTTGAATGTACGGTTACTTTGAAGGTTTTCACCCATATGCTGGCATTAGATTTTTGGTGTAATGCCAAGCCATAATTATTTATAATGACTCATAATTAAAGACCAGCTGTTTCATGACCAACCTATTTTTTTTCCACCTGGAATGTTAACAGAATGTGGCTTTTTGTTCATTTAATGTTTAAGGGAAACACATATGACACTAAAATAATGCAAAAATATTAACTAATGTACTGTATATAGAAAATGTAATACAAAACACCCTGATGTGCATTACTGATGGCACAAAGGAAGAGACTAACTTGTGTCACTCACACTATATTATACAGTAATTCATAGTTTTTGCTTGCAAAAACCATACATTTGACAGAATTCTACAACAGTGTTATATACAGTGTGATGCTAAACCATTTACAGTTTTTCACCATATATGGTAATGTAACTTACAGCTAACCAATTAACAGGCGTTTACTGTAGAAGCATTTTTTACAGTTGGTATCGACCACTGAAATTCTGGTATTATGGCAACCCCAAACTAAAGTACTAAATAGAACCATATGATGCGTGTTGAACATATCGAAACAAAGGAAGTGAAAGAGACTGAATGTTCTTCATGTACTGCACATCCTTCGAGAATATCTAGCAGAGTTTACTGGAAGGGAAGTGAGAGATCAATACCTGCCAGATGCCCATGTGTTCTGTCCTTTCTCTTTTACAGGGGCAACTAGAGGTCACTCTGTCTCAGCCCACTTGCACAGCCAACGGCACACCCTGGTGAGTTCAGCCATTAATGATGTTTAATAGGGTGTGTGTGTGTGTGTGTGTACCTGTCCTACATCTCCCTCACAACCTGGACAGATAGATTTGTCAGTGCATACAGTACATATCCTTACAAAAAAGTACTGTGGCGGTACAGGGATTGTATCAGATGGTAATACCATCTCATTTTGATATAAATAGCATACAGAACTAGTTCTTATGCTCACCAAGGCTACATATATTTTATCAAAAATGCAGTAAATCATTAATATTGTGAAATATTATTACATATATAATATAACATATTAAATAAAGTATGATTTTTTAAATAAGTGTTTTCTGTTTAAACATATTTACAAATATAATATACATCAGTTTTTTAAAAATGCCTTTACTCCAGCCTTAAGTGTCACATGATTCTTCAGAAATCATTCTAATATGCTGATTAGTGCACAAGAGACATTTTTTATTATTGTAAATTTTGAAAACAGTTGTGCTGCTTCATATTCTTGTGGAAACCGTGTTGCATGCTTTTTCAGGATTCTTTGATGAATAGAAAGTTGAAAAGAACAGCATTTTTTTTTAAATGTACACACTTGTTATACAGCCACTTGTAAGATAATGGTATGTGAGCTAGCCTGACTACTGTATGTCAGCGTTGGGTGTGTCACAGCACAAAGAATCAAGCACACTCACAAAAAGCTTGTTGATGTTTATACAAACTCAAAGACTCATCTCCTGAGCCACTGCACAAAGGAACAAAATGTAACCAACACAATAAATCAGTGCAAAATAGTTTTAATAAAGCTCAAATAGTCTTCAGTTTACACATCTGTTAGGCTGCATTTACACTAGTTAGTGTTTGTTTTAAAACGCATAGCTCAGACAGAATCATAATTTCTGTTCATTTTCCACTGATTTACTGATGAGCATTAGCAGCTTCCAGCGCTGTCTGCTTGTGTTCTCTCTTCCATGATCGCTGCTCTGACTCTGAGGTTATAACATATTTAATTTCAGCAACATTATATGGCCAAAACACACATTAGATGGCAGGGCCGGATTTACCTATTTTAGTGACGTAGGAAAAACACATTTTTGGGCCCCCTTCCCTATTAATATAATAGATCTAATATTGCCACCCAAGCAAACAAAAATGGAAACCGATACAGTGTTTTCTATCGGAATAAGCGCTTGCGTAGCCTTACATCTAAGGGGGCTGGGACGCATTCACACTACAGCCTGACGTGTGTACGCCACTCTCTGGGTGTGTTCGACTTGACGCGGACTGACTGTGCAGACCGATCGGTGTATTACAGTACCACGAGAGCTAAAGAGAGCAGACTGCTCCGTGCGCTTTCGAATCGCTCTCGCGGATGATCGATCTGCGCCGCACCTCTTCTAGTCGAACACACCGGCTAGTGCTGCAGGCTTATTGGCTCACTGACGCTGATGAGATTAACCCCTTAGGTATCGAAATTTGGTACCGAACGACGAGACGTTTTTTGATACTCGATGGTATCGAGGCAATTCGGTCGGTGCCTAAAAAGTATCGAACTCGATACCCAGCCCTAGCCAGACGGCGACTCAGTCTTTTTTATCGCATGTAGAGGTCGCTCTGTCTCATCACGGATTAGACACACACGTGCTGTCATCCTCGACTGCCTGGATGTGGAATGTCTTGGCAGTATTCTTGAGTAAACTGTATTATTTTTAGCAGAGGTCAGAAATACTCACTCCATCATACTGTCCTCAGTCACCATATCTGAAAGAAAGCATTGTCTTTGTATCTGTCGCTCTTGGTTTATTTCCTCCTGTCTTTTTAAAAAATCTCAAACAAAAGAGCATTTTGCTCATTTTTGGCTTTCTCCTGTTGCCAGCTGTCAGTCCATTAATGGGTCAACCTGACAGGTCACAACTTGGTGCTAATGTGTTTCCCACGTTTTAACAGCTGAGCGCTTGGACTTTCATTGTTAAAGTCTGTTGTTGTTGACTGAAATATTTTTTAACCTATTTTTTAAAGGGGTCATGAACTGAGAAACTAGGCCTGGGCGATAAAACGGTATCGATATTTATCGACGGTACACCTTCTTCGATAATGATAGAAAAAATGTTCGATATATAGTGCACAATATAGGCACATGCTATGAGTGAAGCAGACAGCACACACAAACACGAACACATGCTGAATTGAGTGCTGTGCCTGCCTGTGATGAGGAGATTGTGAATAAATTTTTTTTATATAAGTCGAATTTAAAATAAACATTGGCATTTGATTGGCGCTTCGGCTCTTTGTATTAAGCAAATACATGATGCTGTTCTGTACATAATTGTTTATGCAATTTACGAAATTATATTTGATTTATATGAGATAATTTATACGTAATGCACGTTTTTTATAGACGGTTATTTCTTGCGTTGACAATTTAATTATTTTGCTAATTTAATTGAATTTAATGCGTTGCATTATTTTGCTCATTGCGCCCTCCTGTGGCCTCGGGAAACAAGCCAAACGTTTCCTTAAGACCTATTTAATTTGCATATAAAACATTAGAAATTATATATTTGTTTAATTTTTATTTTGTGTTTGACTGTTAAAACAAAAAAATATTTGTTTGTCTCAATAAATTGGGTTAATTTAAAAATACAGTGGTTAAATGTAAAAAAAATTTCTATTGCTCTTTGTTTTAAAAAAGGTTATAACAAATGTCAATAATTATCGATACCGAACAATATGAAACATTATATCGATGATACATTTCTAGCTATATCGCCCAGCCCTATGAGAAAACAAAATTCCCTTGATCTTTTGACATATAAGAGGTCATTGTACTATAAAACATCCTGTAAGTTTCAGAACTCAAATCTTTCTCGTTAGTCTAAAAACAGCTTATATTGAAGGCTGTCTGCCAAAACAATAGCTTGTGAAATGTACGACTCTGATGTAATAATGTGGATAAGCACCGCCTCCGCAGAAGAAGATCAACTCCTCGACATCACTGCCTGTTTGGCCCCGCCCACCGGTTCATGCATGTGGTTTTTATGAGAGAGGCGAACGCGCAGGTCTACACAGAAACCAAACGATAAAGATGATCTGAAGACAACAAGATGCTGTGCAGTGCCATTGCATTGCATTGCCTTCCTTCTTGATCCCAACGTTAGGAAATAGTGAATTAACTTTATTTTTAATAAATATCCAGACCGCGTCAGTAAGAACTCAAACAAGGCACAATTCGATGTGGGATTTTCAGAAAGATTGAAACTGAAAGACGATGCAGTGCCGACTATATTGGATCTGACAGTAATGTCGCAACACACAAGTGTATGTAACTGTTTTCATTAGTGGTCACTACTGCTTTGTCTGTTATTACAGATCGTTTGATATGTACTGAGTATTGATGCGTTTTTAACCTAAATCACAGCAGCGTCCATCTGTGAAGGATGTAGACTGTCAAACATACACAACTGTTAGCAGCAGTGGCGTTTACTTCTGAGTCTACAATCCACCACACCTATTCAAACAGAGCGTTTAGATGAAGGGGGTTAAAACAGGACAGAAAATAGCTTGTTACTTCTAAATTATGATGTTTTTTTTTTAAGTGGACCTCAGAGTACAGTATAAAATAAAAAACAAAGTCAGTTCATGACCCCTTTAATAAAGATTGTAAATCATTGTTTTGTAATTTTTACATTTTAATTTTCACATGAGTAAATTGAACCTTTTTTGGATGCTTTGTGTGGTGAAATGTGACCGTGCATGTTGAGCAGATTTACACACACACAAACACACACACACATGTCTGGTTTGCTATCCTTGTGGTTAAGTCCCCACCAGAATAGAAAAACAGGTACACACACACACACACTTTACTTAGCTGTCTAAAAATAACTTTAATTAAACTATTATAATTAATAATTATAATTACTAGAAAATAACCCAAATAAATAAATATATAATTACTAGAAACCCTGAAAGAAAACTTTTTAGAATAAAATGAGGGCATTCCAGAATGTCCCCAGAGGGCTTTTTTTCACATTTACTTTCTTTTATGGATAATTTTGCTTTCCAACATTGCTAAGTGTGCATACATATATACACATGTGGTCAAGTGTGCACAGGCCTTCCAACAAGGACATTGCTTATTTAGTTAATAAACAAGCAGCACTTCATTTTAACTGGATTAAAATCAATCATCTATTGACTACAGTTCAACATACCACAAGTGTACTATAGAGAATAATGCTATAGAGATTAAGTGTACTACAGAGAGAAGTATGCACTCAGTGTAACAAAGAATGAAGAATGCCTACTTCTTTTTTGTTTGTCATGTCTTAATAATGCTATGACAATGGGGGAGTTAGCAGTTAGCCTTTTTTTTCACAGGCTAGCTGCCTAAAACTGATATTGTGTTCCTGTAACAAACCAATCATTTATTTCAATCTAGAGAGTGTGTGTGTGTGTGTGTGTGTATAATGGATAACTGGGTTATATTAGCTTTTATCATGATTGTGTTAACCATTGATTAATCAGGCTATTGATGTCTGTTACTGTAAGTCACATGGAATTGGCAGTAAAAGTTACACACAAAAGAATCTCCTTTATTCAGCAGACATTTATGGAGGAACACATAAAATGTTTCCCTTCTTTTTACCTTTCCTCCATCCCTCCATTTCTTTTATCAGTTTCCTGTCAGTGTGGGCCACACAGCTGGTTTGGGTTAGTGAGCTTATGCCACCGAGAGCGTCAGAGAGGGAGGGTTACACACACAGTGCTACTTTGCCTTCATATTAACCATTTTGCCTGGCAGTATTACCAACCAGAGTTTCCAGTTCCATGACGCTATTCCACTGAAAACATACAAAACATTTCAATTCACGTCTCCAACCACAAAATGGTTTCATACGGCCACCTCACGCCTTTATCCTTAAATCTTCAAATCAGTCTTCTTCGGCTTTTAATATTATTCTATTTTTTTATTTTTTTGTCATATGCTGCACAACTGCACCACATCTAACTG